TATTCTTACTTCACTGCACTACACTTCACTTTAATACAAATACATAGAGATGCTTGCTAATTAATTAAAACTAATTATAATTATTTTAATGTTATATGCCTCAAGTGGAATTTAGTTTTTACTGAAATTGAATCTAATTATGATACTGAATACTATAATATCTACAGAAATGATAAATTTTACTTTTGATAAGGAACATTCCTTCTAAATTGTATTGGTGCTATAATGCCCAACTAATTGTATTGCCAATCATTTTATCAACTTATTTTTTTATAAATAAACATAAATTAATTAATAAAAATAATGATTATCTTTACAATCTTAAATAATTGTTAAAATAAACTTTTTAAAGAGTTGTTAAATTTAAGTAGTATTATATCTGTTATATGCTTGGTAATTGGTAATATTTCCTATATTTTATTATTATCTTTAAAAATTATTTGTTTATATTAACTTATTATGGCTAAATTTCAATTATAATAAATAATAATAATAAAACATTTAATTGTATTATAATTTTTAGCCATAATTATTAAGATATTTAAATTTAGAATAAAATATAAAATTTATTTTATTTATCTATAATAAGATTTTATTTAAGAATTATTTTAAGTACCGTATTAATAGTACCCTATGTAAATTTTGAGTAATTTTAACCTTTAATTTGTTTTTGACATTCTTAACTTATTTAAGTATCAACCTAATAAATTAATACTTAAATAATTTGATAATTATAATAAAACTACCTCTATCTAACTATTAAATGTCAATATATTTGCCGATTATTATTATATTGCATATTACATAATGTGGTTTATCTTATGATACTTAATAAAATCATATGAGTAATTTCAAACCAAGACTTTATAAGGTGATTTATAAAATATGATTATATAATACGTTTACTGTACTTATAAAATATGATATTATAGACAAATGTTAAATGAAAATATCAAAATCATATTTAATGAAATTATTTAAATGAAATCAACCATTTCAAAATCCGTATTTAATTTACTCATATAATTTGCATTGCATATTTTATGAAATTAGCTATTACAATAAGTATTATATAATATGTAAAAATCTATTTAATATTACATTATTAAATTAATCAATACAGTTTTTTGAGACACTTGACTGTTAACTATAAATTTAAGTATGTTAATCTGCTTGATTAATTTAATGAAATTAAAAGTATAATTTGAACGCTATTTTCAGATTAAAAAATTAAACCTACTCAAAATAGTATCAACCTTAAAGGTCGCTGGTGCTTTATAAGATTATTAAAGTGTGTATTAAACTGTTGATCTCACAAATAGTCCCTTGTAGATTTTATGATTATTTTTATTATATAAACATTACATTTCCAAATAACAAATTAAATAAATTATTTTATCTTTAATAAGTAATATTTATTCTATTCGTTATGCAATTAAATATTTATTATTTATATTATAACTGTACTATATTAAATTACCTTAAAAACATTATAAACGTATAAAAACTCTTAATTAAAAAATATATAATTAATTATATTTTTCAAATGTATAAATATTGCAATTACTAATATATTTGCATATTATTTTAATAGTATAATGAAAATTATTATAATTTGTATACTGCAAATATTTGTCGGTAATGTACAGCTTAATATAATAAATGATATAGTCGCAAAGAAAATGAACTCTCCACTATATGAGCTTGTTGATGATGATGACCAACTTGCATTCCCTTGTTTACAAAAGATATACTCCAATGTGACCAGGTGCAATCAGAGTCGGGGTTGTTTTAGCTATACAAATGGACTTAAAAAGAATTCATGCCATTGGCTGTGGTCTAACATAGAGTGCAATAAATTACATATTAAGGTAAGCAAAAGTATATAATAGATTGCAATATAATAATTAATATTGATCCAGATTTTATTTAGTATAGACAGCTTGACGGCAATATTTATTTTCTCTCTCTCTCTCTCTCTCTCTCTCTCAAACACAAACTTATTAATAAATTAGTTAATAAATACTTTAAAATTCTAAATAGATATAAATAAATAATTGTTATTATTAATTTAACCAATTTTTTATCTAGCTGAAATGTACGCCAAGCGAACAAAAGTCAGTGTTGGATATAATGGAGTCCATGAGTGTAATGGTGACAGACATGCAGTCGACAACACAAGTCATATACAGTCAAAGCGACTGCCAGGTGCTTAACCTTATGAAGTCTGAGTGTACTAGCTCATCGCACATATTACTAATAAATAAGACATTATTAATAATACTATTTATTTTCTGTAAATTATTATCAAATTTATTTTAATGTTAATTATTTGTAAATATTGTAAATAAAATGTTGTAAATAAAATGTTGTAAATAAAATTAATTTTTAACAAATACTTAAATTATATATTAAAAATATTTATGCAAAAAATTTATTAAAGTCGTGCTAACTTAAAAAATTAAACTACTTTGCATGATAAAATTTAATTGATACTACTCATTTAACAAATAATTTAATGTATCTATGCGCATCACTACAATTACCCTTATTATTATCATTTTTGTAACGACTTTACACCTATATTTTGTCGTAATTAAAAACTATTACCTCAGTGTGAAAAAATAATTGACTTCAATATAATAACTTACTCAGTTACGCCATTTTAAAAACATTTTGAAGCTATTAAACTAAACATGTTCAGTTAAAATGTAATCATTAATTAGTTTGTAAAATGTTCATTGCATTACTATAACGAAAATGCTAAATTATGAAGGCAATTTTAATATTTATTTGTGTTGTCCATGCCAAATTAATTAGTGACATTTGTCAATATTATGCAACACATTGTCTAAATCAATGTCATATAAGAAAATATTCAATTAATTCAAAAAATTCAAGCATATTTTATTGTTGTACTACTTGGTTATACCATGATTGTCGTGTTTATTGCATCAAGGTAGAATTATATATCTCATAAAATAATTTTAAAATAAAGTTATTTATTCAATAGCAATATTGTGGTCCACATGACGAATACACCTTGCTAAATGAAATCAGAAACTCGGCAATTGGTACCAGGTATAAATCATGCAAGGACTATAGGTATAAAGACAATAGATGTTATTCAGTTAAGTCAACTACAAATCAACCTATTATTGACATTAAATATACTACAATAAATGACCTAGATGGTAATTCTAATTCATATATTAATTTAACCGAAAATATTCCATCAATATACACTAATTTTACAACAATTAATGAAAGCACTACTATACCTGAAAATAAACAAGGAGATTTTAACACCAAAACAACTAGCAATATTGAATTACAGATTCCAAATATTATAACTGATTACGTGCCTAACATAAGTGCAACTAGGTCATCAACCAAGAACGATAATTTTGTTATGAAATATATTTGGTTCATAATTGGCGCAATAATATTTGCCCTTGCAATTGTAATAATTGCATCATTTACGTATTATTACACGAGCCGGGTAAACAGATATAATCGGGTTACTATAAATGAAGATATAATTCTTGATAGTATTGAATCTACACCTGGGTTTGATACGCTGCAATGGGGTGAGCATGGTGCACTGTTTTCATATATTGAGCTAGTTGGTGAGGGTAGTTTTGGTAGAGTGCATAAAGTTAAATGTAAAAGAAATGGTAAAATTTTCGCCGTTAAGGAGATTATTAGCAATCAGCATGATGGTTTGTTATTTATTTTAAAAATAAAATTGTCTAAATTTATAAAGTATTATAATAGTTTACTTATTTTTTAGCCTTGTTTTCGGAGTTGCAAGCAAATATCGATTTAGTCAGCAGCGATTATGTTACCAAGTACATATCGTTTTGGCATTCAGCTAATAAGCCAATCTATATTCAAATGGAATATTACGAATATAATCTCAAATATTTCATCCAGCAGAAAAACACAACGTTTAATAGTTACCCTACAGCAGTTACGCCGTTTAGCTACAACATCACGATAAATCACATTGAATATTTCATAGCCAGTGAAATATTTATCGAGCTCATTCACGGCCTGGGTTATTTGCATAGTCAAAGGATATTGCACCGGGATCTAAAGGAGTCAAACATATTAATTGACGAAAAGGGTACTAATGGAGTGTTTTGTAAAATTTGCGATTTTGGATTAGCCGCCAATTTTGAGGGTAGTTCCCTAGTGGACAGGCCTATGGGCACCGGTAATTATATGGCTCACGAAGCTTATCAAGGTTATTTTAAACGGCAAACTGACGTGTTTGCGTTAGGACAAATTGCGTCAAATCTGTTTAATAAGGACGTGTAAGTTATAAATTATTATACTGATGTAGTTTTATTTTAAGTTAACATTATCATTTTTGTGGTGATCAAATAAATTTAATATAATGCTTAATGTACATGTGCTAGATTATACAAATAACTATTCTTATATTTTTAAAATTTTTATATACAGTAGCCGGCAACATGAACAATTTGAGCTTGTTATTATGGGCATTATTGACAACATGCGTGCATTTACCTGGAACACAAGACCAACCACGGTACAATTAAATGAAAGCATTAGTACATGGCGCTTGAATTGTGACATATTGAATAATACAATTAATTTATCAGATATTTTAAATAGTCTTCGTAATGAAAACAACTCACTTTTGGTTAATTTTTTTGATAGAAAACTTTTAAATTTATAAAAATATGTAATAGGTTTATTAGATTTCAAATATTATTTAAGAATTACTACAAATTAATCAACAATTTTGTATTATTCTGTTTAAATATATAAATATTATATAATGCCATCCAAATATCCATAATATAAGTAATTAAAATAATTACAATTGGTGGCTATCATTCAAACGAAGGACATTTTTTATATTAAAAGGCAAATATACATATATATAAGTATGATAAAAATCATTACAAACAAGCTATTAAACCATTGATTATAAAAAAATATGTAATAAACTCATAAAAAATTGCAATCCAAAATAAAATGTTATAAACTTCAGAATATTGAAATACTTAAATTTGCAATAATTATAATTTTATATTAAAAACAAATATCATACATAAGATAAGATATAATATATATATTAACATTTTAAATTTCAATTATAGTAATTAAATTTTCTAATATGAGCTTAAAACAAATATGTGAAATTCATTTATTGTTAAACAACTTAATTGATAAACTACGAAAAGTGTATTCAAATAGTGTAAGTTATATAAGGAAGGTGTGAAATAAAGTTAAAAATCAATATCATCATACTGAATAATTTGATTATAATAGTTGTATTAAATTAATATAAGGTCGTACACGTGAAAATTATTCAGGCAAAACCTTAATAAGTTTTTTGTTATGAGTCGTAGCCAAAATCGGTAAAAAGTATTTTAAAGGTCTATTTAATGCAGTTCTTATCCAATTAGTTAAAATTTATAAAAAATTTAGTAATTAAAATTACGGAACAAACGCAAAGGTCATATGCACAGGTCAGACCAAAGGTCATAGGTCAAAATAGTTAAACACATCTTGAAGAGGAATAAATATACTTTCATTTAAGCTATTGGTCATAAAAATCTAATTGCTTATAGAACCAGGGTGATATAAAATGTGACAGGATTTCCCATACTAATGACAAAAATTTTGGAAATTATTGAATATTAGTATCTCAATATATGCGACTAATAGTGCAAATAATATTTATGAAAGAATTTTTAATTTATTCAAATTAATAACGGAATGGCAGAGGTTTGAAAATTCTGGATTTTGTCCTTTATTTAGCATAAATCATTAATTTAAAAACGTTGCGTAAAAAAGGGTACTAATGGAGTGTTTTGTAAAATTTGCGATTTTGGATTAGCCGCCAATTTTGAGGGTAGTTCCCTAGTGGACAGACCTATGGGCACAGGTAATTATATGGCTCACGAAGCTTAGACGTTGCGCTAAGGACAAATTGCGTCAAATCTGTTTAACAAGGACGTGTAAGTTATAAATTATTATATAAATATTGATATAGTTTTATATTAGGTTAGCATTATCATTTTTGTTGAGAGAAATATATTTAATATAATGTTTAATGTGCATGTGCTAGATTATACAAATAACTATTCTTATAAGTCTTAAATTTTTATATACAGTACCCGGCGGCATGAACAATTTGAGCTTATTATTGTGGGTATTATTGACAACATGCGTGCATTTACCTGGAATACACGACCTACCACGGTACAATTAAATGAAAGCATTAGCACATGGCGCTTGAATTGTGACATATTGAATAATACAATTAATTTATCAGATATTTTAAATAGTCTTTGTAATGAAAACAATTCACTATTGTTTAATTTTTTTGATAAAAAACTTTTAAATTAATAACAATATGTAATCCGTTTATTAGACTTCAAGTAGTATTTAACAATTGAAGCTCACCATGCTATAACAATCTAAGTATTTTTGAAATAATAATAATCATTTAAACTAATTTATTATATGAGCCTTAAAGAACCAGAGAGACGCTAGCTATTTTTTATATATAAATAATTAGTAATATTTTACTTGTACTCTGATAAGTTATAGTTACTATCTTACCGTAAACCTATGAATATTTTATGAAT